GACCCTTCTTAATTCCCGCAAACGCCTCCTTCATAGAATCTTCTCCCTTGCGGATGCTCCCCAATTCTCGAGACTCTTCCAAATCTTTGCAGGCTCCTCCTAACGTCAAGTCTTCAAAGCTTTCGGAAGATCTTCCAAATCCCCGCAAATCCTCCTAAGCGTTCCAGGAAGTTATCCGAAAGTCGCGGCGAAAGTGCCTCTTGGAATGAAATCTCTCCACGTAGTGCGAGGGTCGTCGAGAGCCTTCGCGGATTCTCCGAGACTCGATTCCAGTCAAACGGGTCCTCGAAATACCGCGCGCACTGGGGCCGTAAATAAAAGCCGACCTTCAAAGCATCGACTAGATCCCGGGGAACCGTAAACAGTCGCGTCCGGCGTCCACTCCGCGACGCGTCGTTACCTCATAAAAACGGAGTCGCAGTTACCGAGCGAATCGCGCGTCGACTCCGAGCACGACCGCATCACTCTAGGAGAAAATTCAGAACGTCCGGCGCACGTTCCTTTGTTCCCGACGAGGAAGGCGAGACCGGTCGCTAGGGTAGGTTAGTCGACCCGCAGCGCAGTCCGAGTCGAACTTAACCTCAAAGCGTACCCCGGGAGCCGGGTCCACGGCGCGCGTCGCCGGCAATTGGTGCTCGCGAGTCCGTGAGACTAAAAGGGGACGCGTATACCCCCTCCCTCGCCCCGAAGCGAGTCCGTATACTCCAAACAGCACGTATGCACGTCCACTAGGACGGAGAGATCCTCCCTCGGCGACCGCCGGCTTATTAATGACCCGCGGAGAGGCGCAGAGGCGAGAGAGAGACCGGGTCCCGCTAGCGATGGATCATGGCGGCGTGCGCGCGCACGCTTTTTCGTCTCCTGAGAGCTATCTCGAGTCTTCGAGGGCGGACGAGACCGATGGCGCGATACGACCAGCGCTTCGGACAGCTTCGGACTGGTCGGTCCCGGAGCGCGCTCGCTGGCCGCTCTCCGAAATCCCGAGTGTTCCGAATCGCGTGCGCGTTGCTTCCCCTCCCCTCTCCGCGCCGCCGGCTCGCGCCAGTTCGAGCCAGTTTCTTCCCCCGCGAGTCGGCCGCCCCCGCCCCTCCTCGTCCTCCGGATTCGAGCGCACCGCCGCGCCGCTCCTCTCCGGTCTCTTCGTGGCCGGGTGACCGCGGAGTACCAGACGCACGTAGATGCGCCACCCCGCCGCGGAACGCACTCAACGTAGAACGTCGATCCGACGTCTAGGTTGGGCAAATACCCTAGGTAATTTACGTAGATTTTTTACAGTATACGCACGTAGACGCGCCACCCCGCCGCGGAACGCACTCGACGTAGAACCTCGACCCGACGTCAAGGTTGGGCAAATGCCCTAGGTAATTTACGTAGATATTTTACAGTATACGCACGTAGACGCGCCACCCCGCCGCGGAACGCACTCGACGTAGAACGTCGACCCGACGTCAAGGTTGGGCAAATGCCCTAGGTAATTTACGTAGATATTTTACAGTATACGCACGTAGACGCGCCACCCCGCCGCGGAACGCACTCGACGTAGAACGTCGACCCGACGTCAAGGTTGGGCAAATGCCCTAGGTAATTTACGTAGATATTTTACAGTAAACTGCTAGGTATTTTACTTTACCTAGTGCATGTAGACCAGGGTTGAGTAAGTATAATACGTCATTTAATATACATGGTTTACTACGCGTATATTAAAGCGTATAATACCAGAGATGAGTTGGGAGATTGCTTATGGGCAGGGTAGCGCGATCACATGGTGTGCTTCCTTCTGGTTTCGGGCGTTAGCTTTCACCGTTTTTGCCCTCAAGGGCGGCGCAACGAATTTCTGGTAGGGGCTCGTGCCGTTGGCGGCTCACGTATTCGTGATGGTAATACCATGCGGCAGTTGACGGTGGTGGCTTACCATTATGGCAATCTCCCAACTCATCTCTGCCAAATCAGAGGTGAGTTGAGAGATTCACAGGAAGGATCGAGCGACCGCGTCCTGTGTACCTCCGGTGGAGGATGCAGACGGCTAATGCACTTGCCACCTGTTACAACTCTGGGCAGCCGGAAAACCGGCTGAAAAAGTGAAGAACTCCTCACAAAGACTCACCGGCCCGATAATGGATCGTGATTGGGCCGGCGACGTCGTCCAATCACGGAGTCGGTCACGGCCGGGGATTGCGGCCCGGCCGGCAGATCGCCAGTTGCTCCAGAAAATTCGCCGCGGTAAGATGTCGTCGAAAATTAAGAAAATGGCGGGGGGCGCGAGGGACTCAGTACATACCACGATAGACATTTATATCAACATGGTGCTATAATTATCAATCGACGGCATCCAGAGATCGTAACGAGGTGCAAGGGACGCTTCGTAGATGACGAGGTGGGGTGTACGCGCAGTTTCCGAACCGACGCGAAGACAGTGAGGTTAGGACGCGACAGTGATCACGGTCCGCGAGTGCCATGGGCTAAATATCGTTGAACGAAAGAAGAGGAATTCAACGAAGGCAGTAGAAGCATGCAGCGTATCCAGCGCATCCAGCGTATCCAGCGAATGCAGCGAATGCAGCGAAAGCAGCGAAAGCAGTAAAAGCGGACACAAAGGTGGAATGCAGCCAGAGCCAACGTCGAAGGGAGGCAGATGGAGAGGAGGCCAGAAACCCCAGGTCTCTGCGGAGGGATCTCCTGGGGGAGTACCGCCAGAAAAAGACGTATCGTCCCGTTGGTAAGTCTCAACGTTTCCTTCCTCCGATCCCTTCATGTCGCAGGACGAAAGGTCCGTACCGGCACGGGGATCGGTTGTATGTTTACATTTTGATTCGAGGGACCGCGAGCCGTCGAGACGATCTCTCGCCGACTCGCGAGTGGTCGTGTTGATTTTCTATGTTTTTCATGTGCTCTTTTAGAGTAGGAATAGATTTCTCCCGGGTCCGCGGTAATTTTCCGATCGCGATACTTAATCGAGCGCCGGGAAGTCGGATGACCCTCCGACTTCGAGGCCGCCGGTTCCGCGGAATTTCTACGAATAATTGAATAANTTAGCTTGATGGGGAAGATTGTTCTGCTTAAATTGATCTCTCGAGCTAGTGGCTGCGATTTTTTTCGGAGGAGGTACAGGGTTTTGGAGTTTTTGTGAGGAGTTCTTCACTTTTTCAGCCGGTTCTCCGGCTGCCCAGATTTGTAACAGGTGGCAAGTGCATTAGCCGTCTGCATCCTCCACCGGAGGTGCACAGGACGCGGTCGCTCGATCCTTCCCGTGAATCTCTCAACTCACCTCTGATTTGGCAAAGATGAGTTGGGAGATTGCCATAATGGTAAGCCACCACCGTCAACTGCCGCATGGTATTACCATCACGAATACGTAAGCCACCAACGGCACGAGCTCCTACCAGAAATTCGTTGCACCGCCCTTGGGGGCAAAAAACGGTGAAAGCTAACGTACGAAACCAGAGAGCAGCCCACGTTCGCAAAATAAACGCTCTTGTAAAAGTTGCGCCTTCTTGCTTGGCGCTCTTTCGTCCAGTCGAGGCAGCTTTTCCTCGTATTTCTCCTCCCTGACTTTAAGTAGCACGTCCGCGAAATTCTTAAGACGTTTTTTTTTCCTCTCGCGAGATGCAATCGCGCATCGTGTCGAATTACTCGGGTCGTCGTTGGCGAGCGCCGACCTCTGACGCTTCGCCTCGGATTTCAGGGACTGACGGAGCCGTTCGTTTTAGTTTTCGCCGGTTCTTGTTTCACCCGGGACTTCGGTTTCATTAGTCATTGCATGCGCCTTGCTTCGAGCGCAAGTCACGGAGAAGCGACGTCGGCCGACGGTAATTACATGGCCGAGCATTTGTTCACCTTGAAGGGGAATTGGTTACCCTGGACACGAGTTAAGGTAAAGTGATACTCCCTTCAAATCAGTCGATTCGAATACAACACTTTTTTTTAAGGTGAAGTGAAACACCTCAGGGAACTTGATCGACGTCGATAAAGAAGATTTTTGTAAATGCCTACGTTGCCGGCGTTCGTTTTTCTATTGACAGCTGTGTCGAATTATATTGGATATTGTACCAAATGGCATACTCCACCTGTCGTTTTCGTACAATAAACATCAAGAAATCGAAGTAAAACTCCAGAAATCTTCTGGATTCGTGCTTCCTGGAGCCCTAATTGAATGCTGAGGGACACTCTACGCCATCTGTGATATCCAGGTCAATTAAATTTTCATTCCGAGACCTCGTATTCCCATCGTTTTAGCACAGAAACGCATAAAACACTTTGTTTGCCTTTATCCCGTTCAAATGCGAGTTTATTGAATACCAGAGTGTTCTAAATTGTCGTAAAATTGTCCTGACTCTTTCGTTTCGCATATCAGAGCCTTAGATCGAAATTATTATATTGATCGAAATGTGGGAAAATTTATCAAGATTTGAATCAGATAAAAGCTTAATGAAGTCTGTTTCTAGGAATAAATGAAATGATTTCCTCATTTGGCCCTTATATTTATTCCTTTGACTCTTTTCAAGTCAAACTACGTAATGTTGATTTCCCCTCCTTATTTAGATTTATTATAAAAAACAAGGTAACGATTTTTCAGTCTTGTTAATAAATGTGGGAAGATTTACCAAGATTTGGGTCAGATAAGAGGACAATGAAGTTCGTTTCTAGAATTGGGGGCGTTCGATAGTCGCTAATTGAGACTAGGTTCTCGTAAGTGGGTCGAATTGGGGGTCAACGAGTCATGACTCATAAACCTATCCTAATTCGAGACTCGAAAATGATTGTCAGAAGGTGTAATGCGCGAATTATAGGCCTCGCGCGATTGGCCGACTCCTTGACGAGGGTTTAACGACGCGCGAAAGCGCGCGACTGTCATTAATGACAACTTCATTGGCAGAGTCTATTTCTGGCGGCGGTCTTCGCGTGCCGACAATTGGTCGGTTCCGGTTCTCGAAAACATGTCGGAGTCGGCGCTACTACACCGACTGATGGAGATAGGAAAAAATAAAAGAGTCAGAACTTACATGGCGTCGGTCGGAACGAAGGGGCTTCCGCCATTCTGCGCGATCGGGCTTGGCGGTGACAACGAGTCCAGTGGAATCTGAAAACACATCCCGGAAGACATTGATCATCAGGCAAACATATGCCCATGCTATAAACAATGGTAGAATTTTAACTCTACTAACATTAATGCTCGATATATGTCCATACTATAAACATTAGTAGAGTTTTCACTCTACTAACATTAATGCTCGATATATGCCCACGATATAAACATTAGTAGAGTTTTAACTCTACTAACGTTCATGTTCGATACATGCCTATGCTGTAAACATTAGTAGAGTTTTAACTCTAGTAACATTAATGCATTAATTTTTCAACATTAATTAATAAAGTAGGGTGGGAAGTGCGATTAAAAAAGCCCGCTCACTGTTTTTCCAATGATCCCTGGCATTGAAACGATGAAAAAGAGAATTTCTAAAAGTATATTCGTGGAGTATGTCATTTTGAAGGGAACGGTTACATCGCTTCCGCATAAGTAGAGACTGATAACACGCAGTTGGACAATTCGTAGGATGGGAAGTGCGATTAAAAAGTCCGCTCACTGTTTTTCCAATAATCCCTAGGATTTAAACAATTAAAAAGAGAATTGCTAAAAGTATATTTGTGGAGTATGTCACTTTTAAGGGAATGGTTACATCGCTTCCGCAAATGTAGAGACTGATAACGCGCAATTGGACAATTCGTAGGATGGGAAGTGCGACTAAAAAAGCCCGCTCACTGTTTTTCCAATAATCCCTGGGATTCAAAACGATTAACCCTAGAACTACCGAGACCAGTCAAAATGACTGGCTTCAAATGGCCCATCCTATACAAAAAAAATCCGCCGGTAGTTCTAGTGTTAAAAAGAGAATTTCTAATAGTATATTCGTAGAGTATGTCATGTCGAAGGGAATGGTTACATCGCTTCCGCAAAAGTAGTGACTGATAACGCGCAGTTGGACAATTCGTATGATGGGAAGTGCGATTAAAAAAGCCCGCTCACTGTTTTTCCAATGATCTCTGGGACTGAAATGATTAAAAAGAGAATTTCCAAAAGTATATTCGTGGAGTATGTCACTTTTAAGGGAATGGTTACATCGCTTCCGCAAAAGTAGAGACTGATAACACGCAGTTGGACAATTCGTAGGATGGGAAGTGCGATTAAAAAGTCCGCTCACTGTTTTTCCAATAATCCCTAGGATTTAAACAATTAAAAAGAGAATTGCTAAAAGTATATTTGTGGAGTATGTCACTTTTAAGGGAATGGTTACATCGCTTCCGCAAATGTAGAGACTGATAACGCGCAATTGGACAATTCGTAGGATGGGAAGTGCGATTAAAAAAGCCCGCTCACTGTTTTTCCAATGATCTCTAGGACTGAAACGATTAAAAAGAGAATTTCTAAAAGTATATTCGTGGAGTATGTCATGTTGAAGGGAATGGTTACATCGCTTCCGCAAAAGTAGTGACTGATAACGCGCAGTTGGACAATTCGTAGGATGGAAAGTGCGATTAAAAAACCCGCTCACTGTTTTTCCAATGATCCCTAGGATTGAAACGATTAAAAAGAGAATTTCTAAAAATATATTCGTGGAGTATGTCATGTCGAAGGGAATGGTTACATCGCTTCCGCAAAAGTAGAGACTGATAACCGCGCAATTGGACAATTCGTAAGATGGGAAGTGCGATTAAAAAACCCGCTCACTGTTTTTCCAATGATCCCTAGGATTGAAACGATTAAAAAGAGAATCTCTAAAAATATATTCGTGGAGTATGTCATGTCGAAGGGAATGGTTACATCGCTTCCGCAAAAGTAGTGACTGATAACGCGCAGTTGGACAATTCGTAGGATGGGAAGTGCGATTAAAAAAGTCCCTCTAATCTTAGCCAAGCGTGAGTCGAGAGTTCAAGGCTCGAGGACGCGGATCCGCATAGTGAAATCTTACGTCGGACAGAACCGTGCAGTCGTAGCTGGGCTGGTACTTGTCCTGCTCGTGAGGAGGACGTCTGAGTATTTTGTCCCGATCCTGCTTGTGCTTCCGATCGGCCCCCTTCAGCTTGAAGACCTTAACCTGGCAGGAGGCCCCGTGCAGTCTGGGCCCCCCAGGTAACCTGGTTTCCACCTGGATGCGAAAGGGAACTCCCTTCTCGCCGCCGTGCTTCTTCGGCGTGAATTCTGTGCTTATGCAATTCACCTAGAAAATAAAAGTGGCCTTTAACTACACGGTGAATATTCCATTGCCTAATTGAAATCGGCGCGTGCGCTCTGAACTGAAGTATTCAAGTCAAAGAGAATTATCCTTCTTCCAGAGAATTACCCGATACTGACATGATGCTACTAACGCACAAAGGTGATCACAAACAGCACTTAAATTGTGGTAAGGGGATGTGAAAGTGGCATCCGAAAGCTCAATCGTTCATGAAGCTTTTCATAGAACTTAGGGTCTCAAATCGTTTCATACTTTAGAACGTGAATATGGAGACCCTAAGGTACGTCCTAAAACTCGCGAAGTTTCAGTTTTTATAAACTATTTTTAAAATACCTATGAACAAATTTAAAAATAATTGAAATTTCATGAGCTTCAGGACCTTCTTTATATCCTCTGTATTCACATTATCAGGTTTGAAACGTCTCGATACACCCAGTTCGGAGAAAAGTTTCAAAAACGAGACCTGTTTGACGCCGCTTTCACATCACCTTAATACCAAAACAATGTTGAAATAATATAAATGGTGATTAACTGTACGAAATAAAAGAACAAGTTACACTTTCCGAAATGGACCCTTTTCATAATGTGTGAACTTACACGTATCAGCAAGCCATAAGAAGTTTCGCTTTAAGGGGTTACATCACTTTGACCCACCCAAAAATTACGGTTTTTCAAGAATTTCTTTTCAAGAATTAAAACGTTTTTATCCAAATTAAAATACAGTAAGGTATTGTACTACTCTTAAACAAAAACATGCTTTTTTTGTATTATTTTAGTTACAAAAATGGCGGCTTGAAAGGCGATTTACCGGAGCGCTGCGAAAATCGATGATCGTGTGGTGGGCACGATAACTCAGTCCAGGTTTAAGTTAGAACAATAAACGAAAAAGAATTTCTGTAGCCCAAAAGCTAGCGAAATACGTAGCCGCTTTCAAAAATATGCATTTTTCACAAAATGGCATCGATTTGAAAGGAAAGATACGTATTTTGCCCTAAATTTCGTTAATTAATGTTACATAAAAACTGCGAATATCAATACATTGGAAAAACCATACGTATTTCGCTAGATAAACATATCACGAATAAAATAAAAAAAGAATCAAGACGATTGATTAAAAAATAGCAGAGTTAGAGTGCCCACCGATTTTTAAAATGCAGTTTTAAGAAAAACGCGTGTACACCTAGACTGAGTTATCGGGCCCACCACACGATCACCGATTTTCGCAGTGAGCGAGTTTAATAGTAGTATAATGCCTTACTGTACTTTAATTTGGATAAAAACGTTTTAATTATTAAAAAAAAAGTTTGGGTGCGTCAAAGTGGTGTAACCCCTTAATGAAGTTCCCACAAGGGGATGGAAGAGCGCCTTACTGGATTTTGAGGCGCGATAAGTTACGGCAAAATTTTATAGACACAACGAATTAGGATAACCCTTTTCCAGTATTTTACCTTGATGTAGACCCCGACCTTCTTGATGGGGTCCCACACGAACTCAACGAAGTTGTTCGAGGGATTCGCTTTAACCCTTTGAGGACGAAGCTCTTTTAACATATGGGCGAAATTCATTAAGACATACAGGCAATATTGGACCAAACGTCGGACGCATATATGCGGCGGTAGTCCGCAAAGGGTTAATGGAGTTCCCACAAGGGGATGGAAGAGCTCCTTACTGGATTTTGAGGCGCGATAAGATAAGTACGGCAATATTTGATTGTCACAAAGGATTGAGATAACTATTTTCTGGTGTTTTCGCGTACCTTGACGTAGACCCCGACCTCCTTGGTGGGATCCCACATGAACTCGACGGAGTTGTTCGAGGGGGAAGGCTGACAAACGTCCACCATTCCGTAACTGAGGGGTACGTCGACCTCTAGAAGACGTTCCCCGGGTCTCGCTCTTTGCCAGGCGAGCATTTGCTCTCTCTCGGTGTACTGCAGCCGTCTCTCGTGGAAGCAGATCCGGATCGTCGACTGGAATAAAAATGTCGGATGGCCCTTCAGGGACGTTGTAGCACCGTTTGGGTGTCTCACATCTTGCGAACGTTTCTAATTGGCGGTCTAAGCGAGCTCGTGGAAATATTCTTCACTTAACCCTCTCGTTATGAGGGCCGAATATAGTCGGCATCCACGCAACGACCTGGGTGTACGAGCGCCGACCATAATCGGTAACAAATTCTGCCATATCTGCAGAGTATCTTTTGATCGTATTAACCCGTATTGGATTAATCATCCTAAAAGTACATTTTGAACATACGTAACACAGTTTGGCCATTAAGACGAGACGAGAAGACCGACTATTGAGATAACTTTTAGTTTCTTAAAACTATAAGGTTAGGCTTTCATTTGGAAATTGAATAATGGAATAATAGGACAGAACAGTTGTTATTTAACACTTAGAAAAGTGTACGTATGAAAGGAGGTCAAGGAGGCGTTGTTCGGGTAGAAGACACAAGTTCGAACACCGAAGACTGCCGAACCGCAATATGCACCCTTGCGGCGCAATTGCATTGACCAGTATTGGATTAATCATCCTAAAAGTAGATTTTGAACATACGTAACACAGTTTGGCCATTAAGACGAGACGAGAAGACCGGCTATTGGGATAACTTTTAGTTTCTTAAAAGTATAAGGTTAGGCTTTCATTTTGAAATTTAATAATGGAATAATACGACGAAACAGTTGTTATTTAACACTTACAAGGAAGGTACCTGAGGTGTCCCCCTCCGATTTTGTTCATTTTTAAATATGTTATAGAGGACTAAAATCTAAAGGACCCGTGTTTTTTTTTATCGGTGGATAAAAGGGGGCTTTTAGGGGGTGAAATCAGGCTTCAAGGTTGGCCGTGCAAGGGGGTGAGTTGGCTGTTTCATATAAAAGCACTCGACCGATTTTTATGAAACAACCGTCAAAATGTAGGGAATGAAGAATTATGAAACATGCATTTGGAATTTTTCGAAAAAATTCATTTTTACGGGGTGAGCCACCCCTTTGAATACTTCTTTTACCCCTTACGCGAGCAGTGACTGCTCTATCCAAATGAAAGTTGGTTAATTTATAGACCAGAACAATACAAAAAAAGTTTCGCGATGACCAGTGTGTTCTAAATCGTTATACAATTGTCCTGACACTTTCTTTTTTCATACCAGAGCCTTAAATAATTGTATACAGATCGAAATACGAGAGCTCGACGCCATTTTCGTTCTGGTCTGGGCTAAGTCAAGAAATGATTTTTTTTAAATCCGAATTTTGAAAGCGTCAGGATAATTCCTAGGTACTTACAAATCATGTGTTAAAGTTTTAGATGGTTCTATCCAATACCCTTAAGGTGATATGAAAGCGGCGCAAAGAGGTCTCGTTTATGAAACTTTTCTCCGAACTGAGTATACCGAATCGTCTCAAACTTGACAATGTGAATATGGAGGCTATAAAGAAGGTTCCAAAACCCATGAAATTTCAATTTTAAGATAATTTGTTTATACCTGTTTTCAACAATTTCAATAACAGATGTCATCTCGCGAGTTTCAGGACCTACCTTAGGGTCTCTTTATTCAAGTGGTAGAATATGAAATAAATAGGTATTAATTTCTGCACGAGCTCGCTTTCAAGACCGCGTGAGAGTCTGATGCGTTTCCTAAGATGTCGCGACCCAAACTTGAAAGGTTTGTCACGACTTTCGTACAATTGCTGGGACCTAGTACCTTTAAGATCTTCCCTCGATACGCCGAGAGATCGCCCAGCTTTTTAAGCTTGATCTCATAAGACTGGCCTTGATTGAGATAGGTCAAGGTCTCCTCGTTAACCTTCGTCGCGATGCTGGTTGCTGCGGCCAAGACGTACTGAAAGCTGAAACCACGTAGAAACTCCTCGTTAATGGGTAAAATTGCAAAGTAATAAGAAGTATGAAATGAAATTACTAGTACGAGAAATACGAGAAGAAAGAGCTGATACAGTCACGTACATTTCCATGTCAAGGAATTAATTCACGGACTTTTTACAATAAGGAAGCGCCGATTCAGACCCCGACTTTTTTACGCCGAGGAAATACCTCACGGAAATTTCATAACAAGGTAATGATTTACCGTCGTAAATGATACCGGGATTACGGAAAACTAATTTGCATATTAAGCGAAACATTTACTCGGATGATGATTAATCGCCGATGTGGCAAGGAAGCCTTTCTACGCAAGAAATTTACCACTGGCACGGAAAATGACTTCTTTTTGTTAACGTATAGAGGTAATTGCCTAGTCCAGCGATTTTCTAACGCTTCATAATAATTCCTCGCACCGGCAATCCTCGTTAAATTCGTTTCCCTGTTGAGAAGAGGTGACTTGGTTCCCAGAAGATGGTTTTGGTGGGTACTCCTCGTCCGAGGGATACAACAATTGATGCAAACTGGTAGCTGTTTGCCCATTGTTGTTGCTGTCGGCTTCGACTGGTCCGCAATTCCCATTGCTGGTAAGAGGAGCGTTGATGGATCTCTGCGAGACGTGGTTCACACTAAAATCAGTGAAAAACAAATTCCGTCGATTAAACGTTGTTCTTATTATTTATAATCACCGGTGTAATTTGTATGAATGGTCAGGTCGATATCTTCGCTCATAAACATCGAGGCAATTTAATAGAAACTAATACGAATTAATGCAAAACGTGTTAGAACTCGAAAGTCCCTCCAAGTTGTGAAAATTTTTTTTTAATTAAAATTTTTTTTACTGAACGTTGCAGGAAGAGCTCACATAAAAAAAAAAACTAAAAAAGGGGGTCAAAATATTTCAATGATTAGAAAAAAATCAAGATAGTCATATTTTCAAGCCAACTTCAAGTGCTCTGAACTTTGAAGAAAGAGTTCATAAAAAATGACTAAAGAAGGGGGTCAACAAATTGTTGAATTGCGAGCACCCCTTGCTTGGCCACTCGTGCATTATCGTGATAAACGTCTAGTCAATGGATAAACGAGATAGAGCCGGTTATCACCAAGCGACGGAATGTCTTCTCGCCTATTAACAATTCGCATAAAATCCACCGTCAAGTGAAGTTTATTTATTACAAATTTCGTATCCAGAGAGGTCACGATTCCTGGACTTTTATTAAAACTTCCTTATTTACCTCTTCAATGACGTGACAATCGATCGGAGAGGTAACAAAACGATACGCACCATTGTTAAAAAAAGTTGCAAACAAAAATTACATTGCCTTAGTAAACTCATAAATTAAAAACTACTGCCTTGTTAAAATCGCGAGTTAAAGACAGTGTCTCGTTAAAATCGCGAGTTAAAAACAGTGCATACTTTAAATCGCGAGTTAAACACAGTGACTCGTTTAAATCGCGAGTTAAACACAGTGTCTCATTTAAATCGCGAGTTAAAAACAGTGCCTGGTTTAAATCGCGAGTTAAAACAATACCTCGTTTAAATCGCGAATTAAAAACAGCGTCTCGCTTGAATTGCGAGTTAAAAACAGCGTCTCGTTTAAACCGCGAGTTAAAAACAGCGTCTCGTTTCAATCGCGAGTTAAAAACAGTGCCTGGTTTAAATTGCGTGTTAATAACAGTGCTTAGTTGAAATCGCGAGTTAAAAACAGTGTCTCGTTTAAATCGCGAATTAAAAACAGCGTCTCGTTTAAATCGCGAATTAAAAACAGTGCCTGGTTTAAATTGATACAGTGCCAGTATTGATAACAGTGCCTAGTTTAAATTGCGAGTTAAAAACAGCGTCTCGTTTAAATCGCAAGTTAAAAACAGTGCCTAGCTTAAATTGCGAGTTAAAACAATACCTCGTTTAAATCGCGAGTTAAAAACAGTGCCTGGTTTAAATTGCGAGTTAAAAACAGTGCCTCGTTTAAATCGCGAGTTAGAAACAGTTTCTAGTTTAAATTGCAAGTTAAAAACAGTGACTAGTTTAAATCGCGAGTTAAAAACAGCGTCTCGTTTAAATCGCGAGTTAAAAACAGTGCCTAGTTTAAATTCCGAGTTAAAAACAATGCCTGATTTAAATTACGAGCAAAGAGGAGGAACAAGATGGGCTTGCGAGGTTCTCGTTGTTGTTGTACTTGTACATAACTTGTACATAAACACGAGTTTAAAGAAGTCAAGATTAAACCTCGAGTCGCCGACTGGAATTCCTCGTTATCCCAGAAGTGATCGCGAAATGAAATCGCGGGCATCGGGTCTTCTTATCGGGCAATCTTCGGTCTCTATCTCGACCCCTCCCAGCCAAGGGTCACCCGTTTACCTCTTCCACTGAATCTCAATTAATGAGAGCGGCTCGAAAATTTCCGATAACCGAATATCACGGCTCCATTAATAACTCTCGCTCCGCGATTGCGCCTCATTGAAATTGAATACAACTCCCTCGAGCTTAATAAGAGAGTCCGCGATACGATGGAAATTTTATCATCGAAGTTATCGTCTCCCTGCGGGGGGCCGTGACCTCTCTTCGATCTCTTCTTCGAGGTCGTTGTTATCGTCTATGTTGTACCTCCTAAGAATAAAAGAGACCAAAACATCCGACCTATGCCTCTCGCCGTTGGTTTTGTTTTCTGTCTTCGTATCTCTACCTTCTTGATTATTCATTCTCAAAATCCGCAGCCCTGGGTGGTTCCCTAAAACTTCTGGAGAATTTCGCAAGGATTTCAGGAATCCGGGCCTCACCTGGGATTGTTGTGATGATTTTCAGGGGATGGTGCTTCCTGCTTGAAGACGGTCAAGGATGGCAAGGCCAGTAAAGCTTCGCTGAAACAATAAAAAGTACACGATACCGCGATTAGATAATCGTTACGACGTCACCGGGAAAATGGTCTTATCCGAGGAAACTTTCCACGTAAACATCGAGACGTACCAAAATTGCGGAAATTCGATTGGAATAGGAAAACATAGGGAATATATTTCCTCTTTCACGTCAGAATTCGAGAGGAGATTGTGCGTGACGAACTGAAACTTCATTTTGAGAGCCATCATACCGTGATAAGGACAAATACGATTGAAAACGGAAAACATAAGAAATATATTTCTTTTCTCGCACCAGAATTTGAGAAAAGATTGTGCGTGACGAGAACAAACGTCATTTTGAGAGCCATCATACCGTGATAAGGACAAGTACAATTGGAAAAGCAAAACATGATACAAATACGATTGAAAACGGAAAACATAAGAAATATATTTCTTTTCTCGCGTCAGAATTCGAGAAAAGATTGTGCGTGACGAGAACAAACGTCATTTTGAGAGCCATCATACCGTGATAAGGATAAGTACGATTGAAAAACGAAAACCTGGGAAATATATTTCCTTTCTCACGTCAGAAATCAAGAAAAGATTGTGCGTGACGAAAAGAAACATGATTTTGAGAGCCACCGTACCGTGATAAGGACAAGTACGATTGGAGAAGCAAAACATGATACAAATACGATTGAAGACGGAAAACATAAGAAATATATTTCTTTTCTCACATCAGAATTTGAGAAAAGATTGTGCGTGACGAAAAGAAACGTGATTTTGAGAGCCAATGTACCGTGATAAGGATAGGTACGATTGGAAAAGGAAAACATGGGGAATATATTTCCTCTTTCACGTCAGAACTCGAGTGGAGATTGTGCGTGACGAAAAGAAACGTCATTTTGAGAGCCACTGTACCGTGATAAGGACAAGTCTATAAAGTGTAAGGTCAGTAGAAACCAGTATGCTCCAGTTACTCTGGCGAATTGAATAACGCTTCGGATCCGGTGTTTCCGCAACATTATTGAGTTCACCGCTTTCGAAATATCCGAGGGGAATTGATTTATCGGCAGACGGGTATCGTCCAGTTGTAACCAGGACAAAGAAAAGAGAAAAAAAAAGGTACAAGTATAAAAGAAAGGCAGGGAGATCGCTCGCCCTGCGGTTGCAAAAAAGCAAGAACGGTGCTAAGAACTCCACATTTTGCGCACCGAAAATTGGCGGGAAAAGGATAGAGAAAAATTTGAAAATTAAATTCACTGTTCACGCGAGGCAGTTAATCGAAGAAAAAAGAATTATCTCTTATGTAACATCATAAGATATAACGGCATAAGATATAATGTATAACGTTTTTAACAATGTCACCAAATGCTCTATCATTTTTGTCGATTTTCCTCTCTTTTTGTACCATTTTTGGGGCAGTAAAATAATGAGAAAAAGTGATAGTGGAATTTTCCATTAAAGTGTGAGTATGTGTATATGCCGTGAAGTATTTATATTGTTTGTGTGGACGTGCGTAATGAAATCTGGATTCCGATTAATCAAAGGCTTGATAACAATTCTGCCACATGTCGAGTGCATAATTCCAGATCGAGTGAACCTGATATATGTGCCCATAATTATGAAAGTGGTCTAAGTCAAAATTAAAAAAAAAAAATGAGTTTATCAGTTATTTCACGCCATATTATTTCAAACGAAATTAATTCAATGTAATTTTGAAACAAAAAATATATGACTTAGACCACTTTCATAATTATGGGCACATATCTCTTGCACTCGAATTTCCTCCTTTTCCGAGTGTACATTCCCGGTACGATGACGCGCAATTGCTCGATAATTATTCCCGACCGATAAATTAAATGTAGAAATTTCCTGGATCGCAGGAAGACCAAAGGCCAGCGCCGAATTTCAAAATATTCAAATCGAGGATAAAAATAAGTTTCAGTCCTGTCGGGAGTTATTTCTCTTGTCTCGTCTCTTCGTAGTTGGGCCTGCTTGAATCGAAATTTATACCTCCGAATGAATTAATGCAAATCCCGAGGCCATCGAAATTTATTCCCATCGTGGCGTCGCCGAAAATCAAAGCCCAAGATTTATCTGTCTCGGATTTTTCCCCACAGACTTCCTGAAAATGTTTCCAATGTGGCTTGAAACTAACATATCCGAAAAAAGAATTCTCTTTTGACAAAGAAATCCTATTACACAAATCCTATTACACAAACACCTCAAATGCCTCCTATCAATGCAGACGATTTATCTTCAATTCCAGTCATATTGTCCTAGAGCAGGGTTTCCCAAAATTTTTCTGCAATTTCACTTCGCAAACCTGGAGATTTTCCTGAAACCCTTAGTTTATTTTTTAGGTTCCCTAGTAGCACAAAATATTTCTCTTATATTTTCTACATATTTAACGAATACCAGACATTTGCAATATTTGCGGAACATTTACTTTAGAATATTATCTCTATAATATTTTTATAATATTAGCTCCATGTGTTTTCATAATATTTTTCTACCAGATGTACAAAACATTTCGTTTCATTTTAATACAAGTATTTTTTAAATATTATCTGCCGAATACATTATAAACGTTTTAAAAATATTTAAAATCAAAATCACACGTTTTGCTCCCATAATGAAATAGCGGAACGGAAATGTTAGAAAAATTTCTCGTGTTTTTTTTTATACCAAATGAAGTGTTCGATAATAGTCGTGAAGTAAAAAATGTATTTTTATTGTGTTCATTGGTTAAAAAATATAATTTCTATATATGTGCCCATAATTATAAAAGTGGTCTGTCATATATTTTTCGTTTCGAAATTACATTAAATTAATTTCGTTTCAAATAATATGGCGTGAAATAACTGATAAACTCATTTTTTTTTTAATTTTGACTTAGACCACTTTCATAATTATGGGCACATATGTTTATAAATTATTGAAACTTAATATGTCATTGAGATTTTCAAGAAATATTTCAAGTATCTTCGAATGAAATCTACAAGAAATCATAAAAAATCTGTCGCTTGAGATATTTAGCAAAGATTACAAAGGAATATTTAGAAATTATTCTATGCTCCTAGGGTTCTGTCACTATCATTCTAAATCACAAGGAACGAAGACATCTATCACATTGACTTTCATTATTCTGATCGCAATCGACCCTTGAAACTTTTAACGGGGGGATTTTTAAAGATTTCACGATAATTTGAATAGGTGTGCAATAACCACCTTGCACAGGTGCAAGGTTGGCATAAATCCGTTTTTTTTTTCACAGCCTAGCCCAATGGTTTTAAACGGTTTAAACCATATTTGTTCGTTTGTACCGCCTAAATCGTTGCATTAAAAACAATCGTTAAAACCTGGTTTAAACCATATTTAAACCGGGTTCTTTCTACTGTTTTGCGCAGGAACGAAGATATGTATGAATGCTACCTACACCGTAGATATGTAAGAATTTATTTTAATTTGTTTCGATATGAGTGAAGCGCATGTGTAGGTACAGAGAGTATACAATATTAGAATAAATTCCACACTACATGCATACCGATGGATTTTATAAGATGATTTTAACCGGTTAAAACCGAGTGGGTTTTATGTAATGTATCAGGAAACTCGGTAGAGTTTCGCGCCAAATATATTTAAAAGAATACGCGAACGGCACCGAATACGTTACGCCAGAGTTCGGCCCGTCAATTCGATAAATATTTTTTTCTCAAATAAAAGAACTTATTATGGACTCATATTTGGCATAGAAAACATACGTTCCGTTTCGTAGAGTTTTATTTACTGGCAAAAACCCCGGAAAGAACCGCTGGTTTTAACCGGAACGGATCAAACTTTGCCAACCCTACACAGGTGTAATAAATCGAGGGCTTAAATGGCATCACGGTGACATATTCTTGACTTCATCTCTTAATTTCTTCTTCCCTTTTCTCTCGGAGTCAGTACTACCTAGAACAACGTCTGAAACTTCATATTACAGGAAATCTCGAAGAATCCAATTTAAAAGGAAACAAATATTGACAGTAACTCCAACGCATCTCACGTGACATACAGGGACGCCATCTTGTTTTTACTATGTCAACCGCTACATGCGGATGAGTAATTCATTCCTATTACATACCGACGCAATAAAACACAATTCCCAGGTTATCGAACGATCTCTCCATTCCAAAATATGCGTGCGTGGATCTTTCAAACAATTCCGTGCACTAATTTGAGGAAAAAAACAATGATAAAACTGGGTTACCAATTTCGCGAGTTCGCACGGTCGGATGTCGCTTCCGAGCCCCCTCGAAGGGATGAGTCACGTGGTGCCACCTAGTAGTTCATGGCGCCAAATTTCGAATTCACATTCCCTACTAATCCGAAACATGCCCTAGCAATCGCGAATTAACTGCCTAAACATCTTATCTGCCGTTAAAACGTTGTAATGCATGAAACATCGTATCTTACCCACGTCTCCTCGAAGGGACGAGTCACGTGGTGCCACCAAATAGTTCATGGCGCCAAATTTCGAATCCACGTTCCCCACTTACCCGAAACATGCCCTCACAATCGCTAATTGACTGCCTAAACATCTTATCTGCCGTTAAAACGTTGTAATGCATGAAACATCGTATCTTACCCACGTCTCCTCGAAGGGACGAGTCACGTGGTGCCACCTAGTAGTTCATGGCGCCAAATTTCGAATTCACGTGCCCCTCTTACCCGAAACATGCCCTAGCAATCACGAATTGACCGCCTAAACATCCCATCTGCCGCTAAAACGTTGTAACGTATGAAACATCGTATCTTACCCACGACTAGAGAATCGTCTCATGGCTTTGGCGACTCGATTCCGGGAATTGGGTTTCTCGATTTTAACGGAAGCGACTCTGCGCACCTCCCTGGCGAATTCGCGGCGCAGAACGAGGGCCCGCATGCCCGGCGTGGTCGTGGCACTCGAGGCGGCACTTTTTCATCCGACGAGTTGCCGTTCACGGTTCCAGGCACATTCTCGAAGACTTTACGAGTACCCGCGGAATATGCCTCGACATTGCGCGTCCGGCCACGTGTCGCGAGTCACGTGCGTCTCGGTTCCGGACTTCGTTGTCTCGGTGGAGCGGAAACGGCAGGAATCGCGCGTACCGACGCTCTTTCTTTCCAACACTGTTCATTAAATCGAATATAAACGACGGAACACCGAAACATCTTTTCTGTAATAACTCGAACACTGGTTCTGGCTCTTCTCTCTCCCTGGGATGGGCGGACAACACTTCGGAGCACGCAGGGCTTAATCACCGCTAACAATTGGCGTGATTACCGGGAGGCCGAGGCTTCGCGTGGGTTCGGACGGACGCGCGCGAGTGCGCGACATTCGCGCTCATAGGCGGACGCGACCGGTTCTCGATTCCGCGCGAGAGTGATGTCGCGATCAGGTTTCGACCGGATATTTCACCCGGTAGGGACGAACGCGACGTGCCCGCCATCTGTCGCCGAACGCGGGAACCCGCATGCCTATTGCGTACTGTTATACCGACTGGTAAAATCGACCGCATCGCTGCACGATATGACTGTCCCAAGTGAAGAGTTTTATCACTCGCGTTACCCGTCATCGGTAAAGTAGAGTGCTTCGATGCTTCAACAGGTGGGTTTTCCGTGAAATAGTGTTGTAATCCAACGGATTAACCCCTTGCGGTCGTATGTCTACTCTCAGCCACCAAAGTTCTCTTGACCTCGGGTAAATACGACCGCAAAGGGTTGAATATCTTATTGCACTTTCAGCTGAGCTACCCTGAGCTGCACTGGCGCAGAGTAGCACCATTAAATGTGTTCGACTGATCAGTGCAGTGTGCTCGGTGTCAGGGTATCATGCTCAGTTTTTCAGTGTCGGGTTGATGGTGCGACTACTCTGCACTCGACGCGTTACGTTTTTATAATCATCGTAGGAAACAAGTGTAACAAAAGTGCAGTTTGGCAACGCCGATGGACGACTAATGCCAAATTCGAACCGAGAGCGGCAAGGGACGAGCAGCAATTAGAAATGTTTGCGATAGTTAATGGAAATAGTTATGACATTGGCATGAAACTTTAAAGCGGCCATTTTTTTATTTATGACTAATGTAACTTTCAAAAGTTTACGCTTTCGACTAATTCGAGTATCGAACTACGAGAAAAGCGTGTTCCGTTACATCGAAACCGTATTGCTATACATTCACCCTACACTCTTGCGACCCTGGTGCACAAAAGTGTAGGCCAATTGAAAACGTCATTAGTATCTGTTTAACGGTACGACTACTCTGTACTCGATTTGTTACACTTTTATCACCATGATAGGAAACAAATGTAATAAAAGTGCAGTTTGGCAACGCCCATGGACGACTAATGTCAGATTCAAACCGTGAACGACAAACGACGAGCAGCAATTAGAAATGTTTATTATGAATGAAATTAATGGAAATAACTATGTCATTGGCATGAAACTTCAAAGCTGCCGTTTTTTATTTTTGACAAATGTAACTTTTAAAAGTTTGTGCGTTCGACTGATGCGGTAGCAATCAGAAGAAGCATCCCATTTAAGAGTTGTGCCTTCTGGAAGTCTTCCAGATGCTTGCGAAATATTTAGTGGCCAGGTGTTATTGCCGATTACTCTGATAATCTCCATCGGGGAATCGTTATCGACCAATGGAGGTCTTGGCGGGAATTAGGAGCACGAGGCTATCGTCTACTTTACGCAATGTCTGCGTAGAGTCTGTGATAAGAGGGCCCTTGATAAAAAACAGTAATAACATCGCTTTCATCGACGAGACATGCCCCCATTATTTCACAGCAGTTCTGCTTTACCGACCGACCTCGCCAACCCGATAAGAAGTCTTGAATAGAATAGGATTCAAAATTTCACTTCTTTTCTATTTACTACCTCCATTTCTCCATAAGCCACGCAGCAAGACTATATTTTCTCAAAATCTGAATTCTATTTAATTCATATAATGTACTCTGATTTATGTTATATGTCACAATGAGGAATATGTTTCTACTTTGTTTAATTATTTCTAGTCCCGGAAAGGAGTATATGCACTAAATTGTTCCGTATTCCGTTCAGAAATGTCTTATAGATTTATTCAGTTCCTTTCAATTCCTTCAAAAACTATGAGTTTTAAATTAGCTTGAATCTTTTTTCTCGAATATAAATTTAGAACTTTAAAGAGGTCATTCTACTGTAACAACTGGAAAATTAACCTATTAGTAAAGATTTCTGTCTCAGTAAATACGCCGTACAATGAATTGACCCCTTTTAGTGTTTGCTGAGCTACTCTTCAATAATCCAAAGGAAAATACATTAATAATTAAACAAAATTTTCGATTTTTGTAATTTTAATATGGTACCTCAAAAAAGAGGTACGTCCGTGGTGTAGGTGATTTCTCCATCCAAGCTTATCCAAAACAAGAAGTTCGAAAAGATTTTTAATTTCTATGAATGGTTATCAGGCTTTTTACTGGAATTAAAAGCTTTAAATCCATTTTATTCCTGTCTTCTTACCGGGAAGTCGTACCGCTCTAGATGGTTGGCGTTCGAAACTATTAACATTCCTCCCACACATGAAAAATGAATTATATTAATGGGTAAATTAATAACAAAGATGACGAGATGAGAAGATAGATTGCTTCGGAAAGTCTCTTGTAATGAATCAGGCGAACAACTAGAAATTGCAGTTCTGGTAAGCTTATGGAGAGACTGGTTAGGGTTGTTACCCCTTGCAATATTAATCCAAAGTATCGAAGATTAAATGTTTCAGCGATTTTTACCTCATATTATAGGATGCCACCGCGGTCGCGAGATCGGAAGCTGCCAAGGCTGACAGGGATCCATCAAAATCAGCTGCCAAGTGTTCTGCCAGTTCCTCCACCTGCGTTGACCACGCTTGACCGGAACCACTGCTTCCGATGGACCCTGTAATTGCCACATATTATTTAAATGTATATAACCAACAGATCTGATTTATAAAATACAATAACTCTCTCCACGTAATAAATTACATCTCTACGAAATAAAGTAGTTAATTAATTGTTCGGTTATGCGATTTTTAATGATAAAGCTACTCAGAAAGACCCTGTAATTGCCACATATCATATAAATGTGTATAATCAACAGATCTGATTTCTAAAATACAATAACTCTCTCCACGTAATAAATTACATCTCTACGAAATAAAGTAGTTAATTAATTGTTCGGTTATGCGATTTTTAATGATAAAGCTACTCAGAAAGACCCTGTAATTGCCACATATCATTTAAATCTATATAACCAACAGATCTGATTTATAAAATACAATAACTGTCTCCACGTAATAAATTACATCTCCACGAAATAAGGTAGTTAATTAGTTGTTCGGTTATGCGATTTTTAATGATAAAGCTACTCAGAAAGACCCTGTAAATGCCACATATTATTTAAATCTATATAACCAACAGATCTGATTTATAAAATACAATAACTGTCTCCACGTAATAAATTACATCTCCACGAAATAAGGTAGTTAATTAATTGTTCGGTTATGCGATTTTTAATTGATAAAGGTACGCAGAAAGATGAAAGCTATCTGTGTACGTTCTCTTTTCCCTCTCCGCTGTTATAGAGGTTTTAATCTTATTTTTTACATTAATCGACAAAGGGGTACATGAAATTTTCTAATCTATCCAGGAAATTATTAGAACATTTCTACCCTTAGGAAACGTGTTCTTGAAAGTTATTTCCATTTTTGAGGTTGCTGATTAAAAACAGATCATACAAGGGCGCATGTATCGATCCTTCCTTTGCGTTTCCGTTTACAAAGTCGACTGACGCCAGAAATTAAACAGCCGGCCGTTTTTGGAAAAGATAAATATTATAACAATCGACGAATATGTAAGAAGCGAGGATTGATTTATGCATGTTGTGGAATTAACTTAACAAGAGAAACTGAACAGTATATTCCTACGAGGTTATGCAAAATAGAATCTGTTCTAAAGGTCTAAAGATACAAGCTTATCAAATCGATCCATCATACTTAGGAAATTAAGTGAAAATAATTTATGCACACGTGAATAGGACGACCTGAGACGTGACAACCTGTATTAACACAGGACACCGATAGGTAAACGCTACAATACTATTTCTACGGTAAAATTGAATACCTTATCAGGGCCGATTATCAACGACCAAATAAAGAGTCGCGATCATAGTAGGGGCCAAAAAGCAGGAAAACTGAAACACTTTAGTTTCGATTTCTGCGGTTCAATGAAACATTATGCCCTGATTGTCAGCAATGAAGTCATGAAGAGATTTACATGTCCAAGGGTCAGATAATGGCCAAGAAACAAAGAGAGGCAAAGAAAGGACTCTCATCTCTGATTATTAATCATATTAATCTGAGATGAGGGCAGAGGAGTTTCAGGATAGCGATAATGCATTCTTGGACCCTTCCAATTTCACCCTAACATTTTATTTTTCGATTATTTAATTCTAAATTAATACGCGACGATAAAAAAAAAACATATTGAACATTTAACACCACCCAACAAAATCCAACGAAACGTCGAAGTCTTCAGAAGTCTTACAAGGAAGATATCCCATACTGATATACCCAGCTGATATAATATTATATTCGGGGTTTTAACGTTTTCATGGAGTCTACTAGATTATTCTTAGGACGATTGGGCTCGTGATTATGAAAGTGGTCAAAGTAATCTTTTAATTGAGATACTAATTTCATATTTTTGTAATTTAACTNAAAAACAAAACTACGAGCTGCTACAGACAGTCGCTTTTGCGCACATTTCTTCTAGTTCGACGATATTAACAAGGAAGGTATCCCAGGTCGATCTCTCCGATTTGATTTCTTTTATAATATGTTATAGTAGACTAAAAACTAAACGACACGTATTTTTTTTTATCTGCCATTAAACACTTTAAGGGGGTGAAACCACCATCCAAAGTAAGGCCTGTGAGGAGTGGCTCACCCCTTAATCTTTTTTTCTTTTTTTAATTAAGAAAATTACATTTTTCATTTCTCGTTATGAGAAAGCTTTTCCAGGTGGATTGGTTAAAATATATTATGTTCTTGTGGGTGAAACTGCTAAATCGCCCCTTGACATGCCTTACTTTGGATGGTGGTTTCACCTCCTTAAAGTGTTTAATGGCAGATTAAAAAAAAATACGTGTCGCTTAGTTTTTAGTCTACTATGACATATTATAAAAGAAATCAAATCGGAGATATCGACCTGGGATACCTTCCTTGTTAGTATCGTCGAACTAGAAGAAACGAGCGCAAAAGCGACTGTCTGTAGCAGCTCGTAGTTTTTTTTTTTTATTTTATCTTTAACTCCTTCACATTCCACTACAATAATGCTTAAAAGAGATTCGACATTTTATGAATGAAAGTATTACTTATTATAATAAAAATGATTTTGTTCCGCTTTTATAATGTTTTAACTGAACTTTGGGACTGTTCATTGCTCTGCTCGTATGATATACTGACAGAACAGAGAGAGGATTCATTTTTCGAATTTTAAACAAAAATGCAACATTAACGAATATTATCGTAAGTAATCCCAAAAATCATCCGACAAACTTCGTCAAACTTTCAAAGCCTGAAGGCTTTAGGGAAAACTTCAGCAAGACTAGAGAAGTCAAAAGGAATTTAACACAAATAACCGCAACAATTTTCTATATTTTCAATTTCTCAATTTTTCACATAAAAAAGACAGCGCTGAATCCAATTCTTAATTGTGGCAGTAATTATGAAAGGGGTTTAAGTGAAATATAAAAAGAAATCCAAAAGAATTGAATTTATCCCATATTTTATATTATATACAGTTAAATTACAAAAATATGAAATTAGTATCTCAATTAAAAGATTACTTTGACCACTTTCATAATCACGAGCACAATCGTCCTAAGAATAATCTAGTAGACTCCATGAAAACGTTAAAACCCCGAATACTACATCAGCTGAAGTAAGCCTAAAGCGAGTTTTTTTCAGAATGTTAGTTCTTCAATTTTAACCAAAACCTTTAACCAAAATACACTATCAAAATACATTGACGGACACTATCTCTAATCACCTTAAATGCCATGCAGCGAACGACATTTGCCAAATTTTCGGAATATCCGACGTAGACTAACTCGATGAAAAAAGAGTGTGAAGTTTTTAAAACGACGCTGTGAATTTTCAATATTCCAAAAACTTTCAATTTTACACAAAAACACACTAATGGACATGAATCCTGCATCATTTATTTAAGGCACTATATCCGCAGGGAAAACAATTATATCTACCAGTGTACAAAGTGGGCGTCTTATTTGTTTCAAATTGATGTTTTGAATAACTTTTTTACTCCATACTCTAATTTTCAAAAGATTATTTTGTTCGATATGTCAATTTATACAAAACAGAATGGTATAAAGTATTTCAGAAAAAAATTTATTCTGGCATCTACGAATGCGAGAGAGATCTTGCTCTTCAAACTAATGAGACTTGTAAGGGAAGGATTGAAGACGAAGACAGCTAAAATCCACTTTATATCTGTCAATCTAAAATTGGTTCTGATAGAGGGTGAAAACGTACGCCAGGACATCGCTCTTACAATCTTAAGGTGAAGTGAAACACGCCGAGGAACTTGATCGACGTCGGTAACGGAGATTTTTCTAGGTACCTATGTTGCCGAAGTTCGCCTTTATATCGACAGCCGGGTCGAATTGTATTAGGTATTGTACTAAATGGCATACTTCACCTATCGTTTTCATACAATGATTCTAAAGAAATTGAAGTAGGACTCCAGAAATCCCCTGGATTCATGGTTCCGAGGCCCTAATTGACTGCAGAGGAACCCTCTGCACCATCTGTGGTTTCCATGTCAACTAACTCTTCACTCCGAGACCTCGTATTCCCATTGTTTTAGTATATCCGCGCATAAGACACTTTCTTTGCCATTATCCCGTTCAAATGCGAGTTTCTCGATTACCAGAGTGTTCTAAATTGCCGTACAATAGTCGTGACCCTTTCGTTTCTCATATTAGAGACTGTATTAACAGCTTTTTCGAATTATGTTGGATATTGCATTAAATGGCATACTCCACATGTCGTTTTCGTACAATAATTATAAAGAAATGGAAGTAAGATTCCAGAAATCCCCTGGATTCATGGTTCTCGAGGTCCTAATTGACTGCAGAGGAACCCTCTGCGCCATCTGTGGTTTTCATATCAACTAAATTTTCACTCCGAGACCTCGTATTCCCATTGTTTTAGCATATCCGCTCATAGGACACTTGTTTTGCTTTTATCCCGTTTAAATGCAACTTTCTCGATTACCAGAGTGTTCGAAATAGCCGGACAATAGTCCTGACCCTTTCGTTTCTCATATTAGAGCCTGTATTAACAGCTTTTTCGAATTATGTTGGATATTGCATTAAATGGCATACTCCACATGTCGTTTTCGTACAATCATTATAAAGAAATCGAAGGAAAACTCCAGAAATCGTATAGATTCGTGATTTCTCTATACCTCAATTGACTGCAGAGGGACACCGTGCGCCATCTGTGATTTCCATCTCAACTAAATATTCACTCCGAGACCTCGTATTCCCATCGTTTTAGGATATCCGCGCACAAGACACTTCCTTTGCCTTTATCCCGTTCAAACGCAAGTTTCTCGATTACCCGAGTGTTCTAAATTGCCGGACAATAGTCCTGACCCTTTCGTCTCTCATATTACAGCCTTCAATAATTGGGTATCGATCGAAATATGAGAGCTCGATGCCATTTTGGTTCTGGTCCGGGCCAAGTTAACACATTTGTATCAAAAATCCAAATGTTAAAAGTATCAGGATAATTCCTAGGCGCTCAACAATCTGGTGGGAGAGGTTAAGTACGATCTATCCAATCCCTTTAAAAAAAGTATTCTATTCAAATCGACTGATTCGAGGGGGGGGGGTTTCACTCCACCTTAAAAAACAAAACTTTGCCCATCTTTTTCCTCGTT